GCCCGCGGCCGCGGGCGGTGCGCCGGGCGCGGCTTGAGCGGGCGCGGGGCTTGTGCCGCCGGGCGGCTGGGGGAGGGCGCTGGGCGCATGCCCGCCTGGCGTGGCTGGGTTGGCTAGGTTTGCGGGTGGGGCCGGCTGCACTGCACCACTTGATCGCATGGGTGTGCCCGCATCCAGCACCGCCCAGCCCAGGGGCCCCGGGCCCGACGGCTTGGCTTTCTTTGGTTTCCGTGTCAGCATGGGCGCGGCCGAGGCCGCGACTGCTCTGGCGGGCTCCGCCGCAGGCTGGGGGGCAGGCCCGGCCAAGTCGGGTGCGGGCGCCGCCGAAACCGGGGCCAGGGCCTTGGCCGCCGCCGAGATGCCTGTGGCGGGCGCATCGATGTTGTCACGACCCAGCCGCTGGTCTTGCTGCCGCCGTATCTCCACTGGCGCAGCCCCCCCGGATGCGTCTAGCGCAGGAGCGGCGAGCACCGGGGGCAGCGTCGACGGCACGTCCGACTGCGCGGCTGATGCGGCCGGCACCATGGCTGCCCCAGCCTTGCTTGCAGCATGAGCATGGTCGCCACCTGCAGAACCCCCTCCAAAGCAGGAGAGCGTGGACCCCATTGTTCCCAGTGGTCCTCCTCCCTCAGGTGGGGTCCATCGGGGTCATGCTGATGAGACGCCTTCGATAGAACAAAACGCTGAAATTAATGCAGTCGCGTGCAGACGCGTCGCGACCCTCACTACTGTGGCGAACAATCAAAAGTAGTAACCCGAGATCGCGTCTCGCGGCCGCTACCGACTCAAAGATGGTGTTCCAGCGTTGCATCTGAGCACATTTACGAGAAATATAAAGATTTCCAACGTCACCGTTCAGCGTCAACCCCTATATACTGGTCGTCCAGCTCATCCACACACACGCCCGCGCCCCATTCGCCAATATGGCCCCTTACATGCACCTCAACCAGAAGTCTCTCGCCTCTCGCAGCAACCGCAGTGGCTGCGGGCCGGCCGCTCGCCGGGCTGCTGCTGTGGTGCCGCCCTCGGCCACAAGCCGCCCCAGCCACGAGCAGCTGGTTCAGAACCTGCAGCGCGCCGGCCTCGCTGCCCTTGCCAGCGTGCTGGTCGCCGTGGCGCCACCCTCGGCCATGGCCGACCTGAACCGTTTTGAGGCCGACGCGGTGCGCTGGGCGGCGGGCGGGCTGACGGCGGCGCGACGGGCGCCAGGGCCGTGGGTCAATGGGAGCCGCGAACGCAAGCTGTGGGCGCCGATCAGGGCTCTGTGTCGCAGGAGACTTATAGATCGCCCACGTGCAGCAGCACCATGTGCCGACGCCCCGCCCTGCTGACGGAGCCGCGCAACCCGCAACCCCCTGCCGTGCGCCGCGCAGGGCGGCGAGTTTGGCAGGTGGGGCCGGCAGCCACGCACCCACCCGGGCCGGCGCGCGTCCTGCTGCCCCCTGCTGCCTTCTACTGCATCCAACCTGTCTTTCCGGCCATCTAGCTCCATGCCGCCCTCCCTCCCCCTCTCCCTGGTCTCAAGCTTCACTGCTGATTCGCTTTCAAGGCTGGGTCACATGTCACAACCGCCAAACCTTCTCAACCCCATCCATCCCTTTTGGGTTCCATAGGGGCTCTGCCGGCCAGTATGGCGAGGCTGACCTGCAGGGCAAGGACTTCAGCGGTCAGGACCTGCGGCGCTCCAACTTCACAAGCGCAGACTGCCGCAAAGCCAACTTCAGCGGCGCGAAGCTGCAGGGTGGGCAGGGTGCCTGCTGCGGGTGGCGGGCGCTCGCCGGCGGTTGCGGCGCTGCATCTGAGGGTCGCTCTGTGGGCTGCGCTTGGCGCGCGAGCCGGGGGCCCACAGCAGAGCGTCAAGTTTCCTGGCTGCCGTCCCCGCCGGCTGGGCGCGCCTCGCGCAGAGTCGCAAGCGCGCACTGGGGCCACGCAAAGCAGCCGAGGTCCCAGTTGCATCGGCACATTCCCACCCGTCCACCGCATGCACGCACACACACACACACACACACACACACACACACACAATCACACAAACACACACACAATCTCTCTTTGTCGCCCCCCAGGGGCGTACTTCATGAAGGCTGTCGCGTTCCGCACCAACTTTGAGGGCGCCAACCTGTCAGACGTGCTGATGGACCGGTGAGGGCGGTGACAGGGGGCGGCCGGGCGGTGACATGGGGTGGGAGGGCAGTGACAGGGGGCGGTTGGGCGGTGA